GGAGATCACCAGAGGGCGTATCGCCAATGACCCCAATTGACGACCTCCCTCTGGACCCCGACGAGTGGCAATGGACCCTGAATACCCCAACCAGGAAGGGAGAGGCAAATGCGTTGGCACTATGCAACTTAAAATCTAAATCTGCTTATCGATTGCTCAGACCCAAGCGCAGATTACGCGATCGTATTGAAGACAGATGGTATCGTCACCTCAATATTGACCGCAGTCTCCTAAGACCCATCTGGTGGTTTGCACACTACAACAGAAGACCCGCTAAAATCTCCGCCCTTCAGTGGCAGATAGAGCACAGGTGCCTACCAACCAACGATTGGCTGATAGACCATACCCGCCTGGAACAACAAGGGAAGGCGCTACCGTGGTGCCATAAATGCCTCCTGAGCTACCCAGGGAGAAAGAGGGTTGAGACCATCGAACATATTTTCCTCCAATGCCCCGCATCAGTGCCATTATGGAGAAGCTGGGACAGGATTTGGTGTCACATAGTCCCTGGGGCAGTCTGGCCATGGGGCTGGAGGGCCCTTCTCTTAGGGTATCATCCTCCAACCAGGGGGAAGACATTTGAAGAAAATATGTTCAGCCTAGGCAGACGGTGTGTCCTGTGGACCATATGGTGGAGAAGATGCTGTCTGGAGATAGAAGGGGCGAGGGTGGAAGACGGCGAGGCCCTAGACCAAATCCGGACACTGGTCCAGCACGAGATAGCGGCCCAATGGAAGACAGTTAAAGATAAGCTCGACCTGATGAATACCTGGGAGGACATGAACAGGATCATCTCCACATTCAGCAAGGACTGGCTAGGCGGAGAGAGGGAGGGATGGGTGGCCAAGGTGTCATGGACCGGCCGCCAACCTGAAAGGGAAGCGCAGGGAGAACCTCGGAGAGGGATAGTAAGAGACTACCAGCTGATATTCCACGATTGGACCACAATTGATCCCGGCACTCCTCTACGTCCTGCCCAGGACTTCGCAGATCCCTCCCCACCCCACCCGCTGGCCCTGGCCGAAGTACTGCCAGTTGCATGAGGCCCGGCTCCAGCAGGCGAAGCAGGCGTTTGACTTGATCCTCGGGGCTGCTGGGTATTTAATGTTGGCAGGCCCCACAATCCCCGCTTCCCACATTCCTCACCCCGCTCAGACACTCAGATACTCTGTGTTAGGTATATGGGACATGGGAGGTCATGAGGACAGTAGGGGGAGCACAGGAGCTAGGGGGAGGGGTACTGTTTTGTACACGTGTAGTCATGGGACGCTGGGCCCGGTTCCCAGCAGGAGAGGCTCCCCACACAGCCCTCAGGAATTTTCAGCACTCTTCAGTAATTCTAAAAAAAACTGCAGCTTGTTTTCTGTTGCTTTACTGGGCACCATGAGGATAGTGGGGGGATATGGCAGAGGCTAGGGGATGGAGGGAGACTCCAGCGGTGCCCCCCAGTGGCCCCCCCTCACTACCCGACCCTGCTGCAGGATTAGGTATAGGAAGGGGTACTGTTTTGTACACATGCAATCATGGGACGCTGGGCCCGGTTCCCAGCAGGTGAGGCCCCCCATACAGTCCTAATTCTCAAAAAAGAAATTTGCTGATTCCAGCTGATTTTACTGCAGCCTGGTTCCTGTTGCTTCAATGAGCGCCATGAGGATAGTGGGCGGATGGCAGAGGCTAGGGGATGGAGGGAGACTCCACCGGTGCCCCCCGGTGCCCCCCCCCCAATACCCGACCCTGCTGCAGGTCAGGTACGGAAGAACAGACTGAACATGGGACGCTGGACCCGGTTTCCAGCACTTTGGCGTCACTATCATTGATGTATCGTGTGGCAAAGATGTATTTTTGGGACGTTGGACCCGGTTTCCAGCA